AGTTCTTACATCAAAGCCTTAAGGAGGCTTTTGGGCAATTTTCAGGATGGTAAATTCAAATGCATTCATGTTACTTAAAGCGTGTCAGTTTTTCAGTGTTGTGAAATTAATTATCATATAATAATGTTAAAAATACATATTCCAGTTTAATGTGCAGAGACAACTGTTTGTTGCTTGATGGCATAAGAGACTGGAGATTAATGACAGCTGCTAAATTTGGCTTAACCAGTGGTGTGAATTCTGTTTGTCAGACCAATGGATGGTTTGAAAGCAAGCATTGTCAGTGCATTTTCCGTTTGGTCACCCTAGTGAGTTAAAGAAATCCCACACTTGACTTTTTAATGATTAGATGACATGGCAATTAATCAACAGAAAATACATTAGTGTATACAGCCTCTGTGAGGATGTAAAGATGTGTTCACACCACGTTGGAATTATCATACTGATGAGATTTTGGCTTATCAAATCCATTCATGTCCTTGTTGAACCCGTAATTACTTTGTTAATGACTTAATAATTTAATAATAGTTAATAACTAAAACATCTGAGAGCTCCACATTAGCCGGGTTTCCATCCAAAGTTGCGAATTTAACTTATGCACAAAATTGAAATATTGCATAAAACATTTGCAAATAAAGCACCGTTTCCATCCAACAAGTCAAAGAGAACAAAATCGTCACTTCCTGGTAGAACTGGCGCTAGGCTATATATCACTATGAAAAGTAGGAGAAACCCCTGAATATAATAATATTCATAGGCCTATATAATAAATTACTTGCGCCTCAGAGCGAGCAGACGGAACAAAATAAATGCGGTCATTGCTTTCGGAAGTGGATGCTGCTGTTTGGGAACACAGTCATGCAACAGTTCTGGGAGGCAATTATATACTTTGATGACAGACTTTGCTCGGACATTTCAAAATAACCATAACATTTCAGATGCTGAGGAATGAGATTGGTCCACTGATTAGGTTTTGATGTCCCATAGCATAGTCACATTACTTTTTAATGTGCATGGAGGAATTTACTCGGCAAATGCGTTTCCATCTCCTTTTATTCGCATTAACCCTTTTTCGCACAAGTCAAAACCACCTCAAGCGAGCGTAAAAACTATTTTGCGAATTAAGGGATTTTAATTTGAAATTTGCCTTTTCCATCACTCGTTTCTGATGCGATACTTCAAAATGTGCATAAAAACAGGGTGATGGAAACATAGCTATTGTATCACCTGACTGCTGTTACATCAAGCAGAAACACTCAAAATGCTAGTGGCTTCAGCAGTAAAAAGTAGTTAGTAGTTTAAATGTAGTTTCAAATTAATAATTCCAGTAATTTACTATTGGTATTGTTTTAAAAATACACAATTGATCTAAAAATAAAAGAAAGACATTTAATACAGTTTAACATACAGTGAAGCTAGCACAGAGTTGGATAACTAATGTTTACTTTTATGCAAGAAAACACTGGGTTGGGAAACACTGATATAGACTGCTAACCATCTTAAAAAGTTTTTTTAAAGAATTTCATACAAAATATTTTAAACCCCCAAGTCAAAATGTTATTCATCAGTTTTTATCATGTAACAAATCAAATTATTTTTTAATCTATTCCACACTTCTTAATTGCCTTTTACCTCCTCTGCAGAACTAATGCATTCAAATGCCTCATGCTGCCTTTCATTTATACACATGGTGATGCTTGTTCTCTCAATTAATTTGCAATAAATTAACCCATTTATGACTTACATTTTCAAAAAAAGACAATTCCTGACCTGCACACAAAGGCTGAGCTCTTTTGATCTCTGAGCTTCATTTGTCTGAGGTCTTGCTGAACAACGCTTGTTTGTTTCTTTGAGAACCACTTTAAGGTCCTTGTTAAGTCAAGAGGACAGATAGCACAAATCTAAAACCTGATACATTTTTGTTTGAAATAAGGACATGGAATTTCACTCATTGAATCCTTTTTCTCCTCACTAGCCTAGCTGATTTCTTTCCAATTGAATCTTAAGCAGCCAGATGTGTTTGACATTGGAACCACTAACAACAGCTGCTCTTTATGAAGCCTTCTGGTGCAGGCCTTGAAAATATGTTTGTTTCCACCACATGATAACATCTTTTACATATTCCTTTACAAAGCTGCTCTAAGCTTAATGACAACATTAGACCCACACTCTCACTTCACTGATTTTCCTAATACATTCTGTAGGAAAGCAAAATAGTCTATTTTGCTGGATAAAAAGGTTGGCCAATGATGTTGATGTACCTCATGCTACATTTAGCAGATACTGATATGTCATGTCTGAGTACTGGCATGGAAAAGAACAGTCAGAAATGACATACCTTTAATATCTAAATTGTTTCTTTGAGTCAAAACTGAGATTAAATGGAGAAGAGTTAGAAATTCTCCTCTTTTAGAAGAAATCTCAACAATGTTGCAAACTGTTCTCCGATTTTCCAAAGACACCCAAGTGTGAAATGTCAGCTGTGACTATATGCTTACTCATAATTCTCAACATGGGGTAACAAACTGTTGCTGCCTCTCACTGTTTCAACAAGGTTCTGGGTCTATTTGTCATCGATTATGAATCATGGCTATTAGCATTGTTCTACTGTGCTCCCTATGCAAAGGGACCCATTGTATGAAATTAGGGGGTAGTTAGGTAGGCATGTTGACTGCAGGGAATACACAAGTGCTTATTAGGTAACCCTTGGGGATCATCGGCTAGGTCCAGTTTTTTCCCTGCGTGCACTGGGCATCTTTCTCTTGGTGGCCCTGTGCTGGGCTAGCAATCAGCGTTGGTGGCTAGATTTGATAATTAGCATGCAGAGCCATTCGCAGGCATATCTTGCCTGACATAATTGTACCAACTTCAGCTTCATCCTCAACCCACTGTGACTGTGTATGTATTCACAAAATTGTTGGTGCCTGCATTCATACGAGAAACCGATTATCTGTTGACAGATTGATTCATGTGACTTTTGTTACTTGCTTGTAACAGTGTGTAAACATCTTTGTGTTGGGACACATATGATCATGTTAGATAAGCTTCCTAATAAACGACAAGACTCTTTCAAACACTGGTGAAAGTGTTGCATTTTACTCAAACATTTACAAGGTAGCACAATTGCAAAAGGTCGCCCGTATTGACAGCAGATGTTATCTATGTGATTGTATTCACACAGGTCATAACCACATTGTTGTAGCATAAAATCGGCGAGCCAGCCAGAAAACTACAGGACTATATGCATTCTTTTGTGTGTGTGTGTGTGTGTGTGTATGTATGTGGGAAACTGTTGCTGTTGTAATTCATGCCTAAAGCTGAGTGCACACTGTGAGATTTTACCCTGATTTTTAAAAACATTTTAGGGGTCATCATTTATTTTGATTGTTGGTCATAGGTGGATTAGTATGACGTTCCAATTTACTAAAATTTGAGATGAATCTTAGCTTCCAGTGAAGATCTGTCAGTGTTAGAAATAATTGCTGCTACAGTGGCAGTCTAATGAAGAATTTATTGGGAACAGCCATTGATGACTGATGTGTATGATTCATATAAATATCTGTCAGTTAAAAAACTTTAACTATATTATATGCAAAACAAATTTAACATTACTTATTTGATGTTACTTTCCCATATGATAATACTACAAAACCTCAAATTTTCTCTAAAGAATGAGCAGTCTATGACCTCTTTGTCCCCCCCCCCCAATTCAATCACATACAAATGAAAGTATAGGTGTTGACAAGAGTGAGGACTGAAGATATTTGATGCTGCATAGTCTGCTTTGGATTTTTCCTCAAGTTCTCACTAGGGTCACAAATTGTGCACAAATCCAGCTTAACATGATTAGTATGGCTTTGTCTCTGTCACACGAACACTCACACTGACATTCTACCATTGATTTCCATAATTCTTTTGGGTCATATACACTTGTTTATTCATCTGAGAAATTGATGAGAGACTTGATGATTAATGTAGTGTAGTGTGAATGCATTGTAGATCATCTAATTAAGTCTATCTCACACCTCCAGAGAGCTGTCAAAATGAGACATCAATTCTCACAGCTCTCCAGAGAAACTGCATAACCACATAATAGCAAAACACCTGGCACTTGCTCCTGTGAAATTACCATTACTTTAGCTCTTTCCACTTATCAAAGGTCAGGCTCACTCTCTTGAACATTTTATGGAAGTATGCCTATCTTCAGAAATGTAGGAGTGTTCCAGTGCGAGCTACCTCATATGTGTCTTCAAGCAGAGCATGCAGTCCATTATCAGAGGCGAAAGGCTGTCATTTGATTGAACTCCAATTGCTGGAGCCCTCTTGAGAGTGTCTGGACTTGAGAGTGAGAGGTTCTGAAGGCAGGTTTCACAGCATCAGATGAGCAGTGATCCTTAGCGGCTTGTGAGGCTGAGAGGGTTTATAAGCGGTTCTGCATCATTTGTTTTTCCGGTATGGGTGACAGCTAAAGAAACAGCATTAACCACTAATCGTATAAGTAAAGATACAACACGGTCAAAGGTGATGGGAAAGAGGTACCTCAGCCAAAACATCTGATATTTCCCTGGCTACTTGGTAATAGTGGAGAGAAAGAGAAAGAAGGGTGTGAAAAAGAGCTGTCAACATCTAGTTGTGGTTTGCTGATATTCCCCTTGACCGTGGTGGGTTCAAGGACAGGGTATTCCCAAACAGATTTATTCCTTCTGTAAAAGCTGCACTGCAAATTTGTGTTTAGTATCAGGGGTTTTCATTCAAGGTCAAAGAGATGTATGAGGGAATCTTGAGGCTGGATCACTAATGTCCACAGAAACATCAAAACAAAGCTGAGAGCCTGAGTATTCTCTTTAGTCCTCATGAAAGAAAAGCCTACCAACAAAAAAAAGCCTTCGTTCTCATATAAGAACATTGAATATTGGCTGGAATACCACTCCAGTGCTGCGAACCCCCCTTAATGTCTGAGTGCTCCTTCTGATTAGTCTGTGCTGATGTGCCACGGATCTTCAGAGGCAGCTGTCGGGGACGGGGCTCTCAGGTGATTGGCTCTCCTTCACTGCTACTTCAGAGATGAGCGTCAAGCAGGTGGCAGGGTTGCGGGAGGCGCAGCGAGATAGTAGCTCCTGTCCACTCCGTCTGCAAGGGCACAGGTAACCACGCAGGTGCATGCGGACCTTGCTGTGCAGCGAGGCATAGATGAAGGGGTTGTAGCAGGCTGAGCTCATGGCTATCAGGTGGCAACTGACCTGCAGCACGTTGACATAGCGCTTGTCAACGATCTGGAAATCCGAGTCTAGATCCAGAAGGAGATTGAGGACTTGCAGCGGGAGCCAACAGAGGGCAAAGGCGAGGACAGAGGCCACCAGAAGGGAGAAAGTCTTGCGCCGCTGTTTGCTCCATCGCTGCTGGCTATGGGACGGCTCTCCAGGCAACGTGTGTTTGCGGAGGTGCACGCTGATGGCACAGTAGGAGATGCTTACAGACAGCAGGGGGATCATGTAGGAAGCCAGCAAGAAGAAGCAGGAGTAGAGTAGGCGCTGTCGTTCGGTTCCCAACCAGAACTCCTCGCATACTACCAGCTCCATGCCACTGGGTCGTAGGTCCACGTAGCGTGTGTGGAGGGAAGGGGGAGCAGCGAGGGCCAACGAAACTGCCCAGACACCCAATGCCACTGCGCCACAGCCCCACACTGAGATACGCCTCCGTACTGGGTATGCCACCACCACATAACGGTCCATGGCGATGGCGGTGAGAGACAATACAGAGGTGAAGACCGTTGCACCTTGTAACAGAGGAATAAGGTGGCACATTGGACGGCCGAATGTCCAACCACGTGCATCAAAAGCATACGACGCTGTCAATGGCACACAGCTCAGACACATCAGCAAGTCCCCAGCTGCCAGGTTGCCAATAAAGAAATTAGTGGCATTGTGGAGCTTCTTATCTGTCAGAATGCAGGCAAGAAGGAAACTGTTCCCGACACCAGCCACAACAACAACCAAGGCGTAGAGTGGAATAAACAGAGGTTTGAAGCGGAAAAGCAGCTGGGTTCCTGAAAATTTATCCAGGAGGTCTGTCCGATTTGAAGCTCCGAGGGTTGTGTTAAAGCCCGCCAAAACTTGTTCCAGAAGAGGATCCATTTCAACCTGTGACAAAAACATTCATGAACAACAAAGACGAACATCACGCACACACAGGTACACACTCAGTCATCGGTTAGAGATAAACTCAGTGTGAGATTGGCACATGGAAACGCTGTTGCCATACTCTTGATGGAACCCCTTTTAAAGAGTCTTTCTCCTTCTGCCTTGATGAGACTTGAGCACCCTCTAAGCGCAAAGCAGAAAGGCTACATTCCACGGATCCAATTAATTGCTGGAGCAGACTTTTTTTCCGAAGGTGAGTCATAAAGTCTAATTATAGTGTTATTATTTAGTATTATCTAGAAGAAACTCCTAAGGTAGTCATATTTACCTTTATTTAAAGCCACGTTGTCTGTAGTAATTCACAATGATCTACTGGTTATCAGGTCTTATGAATGGAGAAAAATTAGCATTTGATGACTCTATAATTAATTCCTGATATCAAACTCCATTACACAGAATTTCACAATGTGTGATTACATGAATGCATGATTACAGTAGAAATCATAGCACATGCTCAACAGATTTGAGTTGAAAAAGCCAAAAAGTACTAATGATGATAATAAACATCATATGTAAATGCAATTAATAACTAATAAATGCATTATCTAACAATTTTAGTTTTGCATAAATTATGATTTGCACTAGGAAACAGTGTGTTCTAAATATGCCATCTTTTTGAACGGTGACCGTGATTTCACCAAGTACAACATGTTCCTGGATCAACATCCTTGTTCCTATCAACTAATCAGAACTGAGGGATAACTTTTCAGGAAATATCTGTTTTAGGCTTACAATCAGGGTTAGGTGCTTCTACACCCTTGTTAATCAGCTATCATTTCACAGGAATACATTATGGGTAGGGTTAGGTTTAGGGGTAGGGATTGGGTTGTCTATATTTTTGGACAGTTATGTTGATCCAGGATCAACAAAAGATGTTGATCCAGGAACATGTCTTACTTGGCAAAATCACAGCGACCCTTTTTGAACAGTGATAAAGATTAAGTACAAATGAAAACATTGTTATCAGTGTGTCATGTTAGAAATTATATCTGATGATGCCATCAGCTGCCAGGAAAGCTGTAATACAGCATATGGTCAGAATGAGACAAAACGGACACATTTAATTTTTTATATAAAATTTAAATTTGACTTAGTTAAGATTAAAGCAATTGAATGCAAACTTAATTAATCGATTTGAGTTAAAATTCATCCTTTTTTTAATTAAGTAATGCAACACTGATCTACTATGTGTGGAAAACATAAATTAAAAAGTGTTTTAAAAGCAATGCCAATTACAGCACAGTTTTAAAAAGGCATATGCAATGTGAATGACTAGCAAGTGCATGTTTGTGAGAGAAAATGCAAAAGACAGAAAGAGTACCTGCTGCACAAAAGCTTGATGTATTGCAAGGTATGATTTTTTGATGTCCCTTCAGTGTTCTTCCACAGTTGAGATATTGTTCATCTCCAAATTTCCACATCCATAAATGATCCTCTGTGCCCAGTTTTCCATGCAGTAGTGTGTAACTGATGCCATTTACCACTGTCTCACAGGAGGAGAGTTGTTAGTGAGGTGCAGACCACCAACCCAATGGACTGTGATGGAGGGGGTGCTGGGGGGCTGAGAGAGAAGACAGAGAGAGAGAGAGAGAGAGAGAGAGAGAGAGAGAGAGAGAAGGGGGAGTGACTCTGTCTTCTGTCACAAATGCAGTAAGACTAAAACTGAAAAAAATACACAGTTCTCTTTCTGAGACCAACCTCCTTTTTTCACTCACTCTCTCCTTAGATTAAAATTCACACAGAGGCATATATTTCAGACGTATTTTATTTATACAATTTATAAACACTCAGTCTTTAATCTCTCTTTGAGATCATTTTTCTTTTCCCCATCTGTGAGCAGCTGATAATTCTGGAAAGATCTGCTTAGCGATGCATGTGGTTGGAACACTAATGCACACCACACAGAATAACATATGGATATGGAGGGGAGAAAAGGACACTGGTGGTTCTTGAATTCAGTGCTACAGTTGGGCATTTCTTCATATGGGCTTTTTGGACTTTTAGAAAACAAACTCTTTTGTTGTTGTGTGGTTGAGGTGGAAATCACAACACAACTTAGGGATAGCTAAACTGTACATACAAAAATATATTATATGCTAATTAGGTGCCAAGAGCTATGTTTGATCAATTATTTATTTATTTATTTTTACTTTACGAAGTTAAAGCAGGAGATAAAAGGAGCGACAACAGACATTTCAGCTATCTGCCTTCATCAGTGTAACAGTTCTTTCAGAATCAGAAATGGAAGAAAAATACTGTTCATTAACATGGTGCCCACAAAAAAAAAAAAAATAATAAAATTTAAACCCCAAAGTGACATTGTCTGTAAATAAAACATCCAAAATGCCTCTCTTTGTAAGAGTTTTTATTTTTTATAAATATCTCCACTGCAGCTGGAAGTCATAACTCTTTCAATACTGTTCAGTATCGTGATTCCAATCAATACAGTGTCTAGCAATCGGAGATCACTCACTTTAATCTTCATTGATCTTGATGTTTTCCCAACATACATCTATGGGCATGAACATTGGACATCACAATTTTAGTGGAACGTGTTATACAATATTTGATATGATACACTTGTTTTGTGGAAAAACATGTGACGTTTTTACATGTTAGTACAGAAAAAAAAACATGATGTACAATTCTGACATGGAAATACTTTTTATGTCATCACGTACAACATCTCATCTAACTAGCATGTTCGTCAAGTTTTGAGATCTTTTGTAAGAGAACATTGGAAGTTATTTGAAAACATTTTTTAAAGTGGAATCTAAAGCTAAAATAAACCAAAATATGTTTAATAAAAAATAATATATAAAAATATTATATAAGAGTTTGTATAAATCATTTTGAGACTGGTGTTATTTTCGCATATACTATTATAGTATTTATTAACATTTTTAATTTAGTTTTTATTTTAATTTTAAGTTAATTAGTTAATTTTGTTTTTATTTCAATTTTGTTATGTGCTTTGTATTAGCTTTAATTACTTTTATTTTAGTTTTAGTAATTTTAGTACTTAGTTTTTTTAAGTACTTTTCTAAGCTTTTTCACCTAATGTTTGTTTTATTTTTCAGCTTTATTTGAATTAATGAAAATGATTTGTGATAGTTTTAGTTCACAATAACAACACAGTTTAAGACATTAGATTGTACATATTATATTACAGATGATTAAATATTACAGATATTTTGATTTTGTTTAGCTGATCATAATTGCAAAGTTTTAATTAATTTTTATATATATAATACATTTTCATAGTTTAAACATGCTAAACTGGGTCTTGGACAAGCTAAAACAATAGAACATTGTTTTAGCTATATAATATATCTATAGGCACTTAAAAGTTGAAATAGTTGAAATGTGTTAGTTTTATTAAAAATCAACCCCTGGGGCATGAAGTTGAAAAAGCAACCAGATACACAGCAAAATGTCACCCACTGTAATATCCTTCTATTTCGACGTTGACATATAGCAGTAAGGTTAAAGCTATAGATTAATTCTCATACCTGTCATAGAATTTATTTCCACTGCCATTCGATTGAAAAAAAAAAATCACTACATCCAATTTTCTCTTATACTTCCCAGACAACCACTTTGATCAACATTTCATTCACTATAGTAAATGTTTTACAACTTTAATATGATTACCAATGATTGAAAACAGCCCTCCGGCAAATCTCCCAGCATGAGAACAATGTTTCTTACCAAACCACCCAGTAAATGCCCAAAGAGGAAAGCTGAATGCCAGACATGCAATTCCTTCTATAAGTATCACTCCTAACAGTTAATTATCATGAGCTTTGCTATTTGCACCACAATGAGCAGGCAATCATTTGTATAACTTAGAACGAGAGTCATTCAGTTGTGAATAGTTCATTGGAATACAGGAAACTTCTTACGGCCTGATGTGGTTAAATGGTCAGGAAGAATCATGAGAAATAAGAGTTTTTTATTTTATTGACACTAAAAATTATAGTCTCTAGAAGGAGGTTTAGGATGTGGGATAGTGCACATAATGCGCAAATGCAATTTGAAATGGACTGATTATGTACTCTGAATTTCACTAAAATGAAACGTTATGCTTCAATCAATTCATGGAAGTTAAGTTTCCATAATCAACAATCATTGTTTGATGTAAAGACACGGTAATTGTCGGTAAATGCCTTATCTCCCTCACAGGACAGCTGACTTGGGTGTGGTTTTTTTTATTTGGGCATTCAAACTGACACAGAGTTGATGTGTTTGGGGTTGGCACGAGGTTAAACACAATCAATTACCATCTTGTTGATGCCCTGAGAAGGGTGAACTAAAAATGGCCAAAAAGAGGGTGAACAGAGTGAATTTGAAAGGTTAATTGCAGTTGTGCCTGTCTAAGTAAATGTCTTGGCATAGCTATTCTGAATTTGGCCGTGGGCAAAGCCTTCAGTGTAAGACAATCAACACTAATAATTTTACCCCTCGTGTCATGAGGATTTTGACCTCCTCAGTCGCCTCGACCTTTGTTCGACCCCAGCGACCACTCTCACAGTGTGAACAGTGGTGTGTCATGTGTGAGCTGTTGCTTTTGCTTGAAGATGGGACGAATAATAGGTTAAAAGAGAGCAAAGGGAGAAGTTATAGATTCACTGGGTGTAATATTGGCTGGGGTTAAAACTAATTTAATGGCACTGACTCAGAATCAGATTTCCAGATGCAGACGTTGACCTTTTTGAAAGTTCAAATCCCTTTCCAGGTCAGTCTCAGGGCTTTATATAAGGCTTTAATTTTTTTAATGAAACAGGATATTAAGCAAGAAAAAAAATGCATTTTGTTCATTTGAAATTGATTGGTTTACAAAAAGTAATAACGTATCACCCTAGATACTTCTGTGTCAAGTATATTTTTCCAGCTACTACAATGGCCTTAAGTATGGAAGCTTATTTCCACTA